TTGTCCCCTAGGTCTACACAAAAAATGATGAGGACCAGAAAGGTTGATGAGTTACTATCTCTGCAAAACAAAGCTAAATTCAACTGAATAATACAAACATCAAGCCCAATTTATATATAGAAGCCTTCAGCAAACAGCTTATATGAAAAATATGCACTGGACAACACAAAAGACAGTCACTGCATCCCAAACAAGTACAGTATCCAGATGGAGGTCAGAAATACCTGCTGCATGTGCACCTCCCACCTGTGCAGTCAGCCCCTCTCTGCTTGGCCATAGCTGCACTCCATGTGGGCTCTTGTTTCTACTCATAATATGCCACATTTCAGCTTGGTTTGCACTATGGTGACTTCCTGAGAGAAAAACATTTGATTCCTATTTCTGTTAACACCTAAGGATTGAGTTTTTCTCCAAACTACTGATTACTTAGCAGGTATTATATCAGGTAAATAAATTTCAAGAGTGACACTAACAAAATAGGACATATCTGGATGACAGAATGAACAGACAAAAAATATTTTGTTTGGAGATGAGTCAGAAGCTTGAGAGCTTCTCTCAAATAGCCAAAGAGTTGTCAGAAAGGGAGGAATAAGATATGCTGTAAAGTCTAAGTCATTAGGATCTAATAATTTAATGTAGTTTTTCCCAAGCCACAATTTAATAGAATGTTGTGATACTAAGGGAGGGGGGAGGAGATCCTAGTCAAGAAAGTTTGCGAAATGTTGGGTTAAACAGCTCTTATTTTCAGAAGAAAAGTCTTAGAAGCAAAAGCAAGAAACAAACCACTCATTTATGAAAAGGTCAGAATTAATATTAATACCTCCAGATGCTTGGTGAGAATAGCTCCAACTTGAGGGGCTGCTTAAATTAGAGTGATGTTGAAACAGAAGATATGCACTGCGGTCTATACTACAACTAAAATGAATGTGGACTGACGCAAGGATCTGGTCCTTCCTGAGTGGTTCCTACTGAAAGTAGCCGATTTGAGTAAGCAAGTCTTCATCAGCAGTGCCAACTTAAACCAACTGAACTTTGTATATTGATTTCTAAATGACAAAGTCCTCCCTATTTTTATTGCTGGTAATTTTAATAGAAAAATAGGAGACTGGCTTTTAAATATATATGTATATATATATTTTTTTTTTGCGGTACTGGGCTTGAACTCAGGGCCTACACCTTGAGCCACTCTACCAGCCCTTATTTTTGGTGATGGGTGTTTTCGAGATAGGGTCTCACAAACTATTTTCCAGGCTGGCTTCAAACCGTAATCCTCCTTATCTCTGCCTCCTGAGTAGCTAGGATTATAGGCGTGAGCCACCTGGCGACCGGCTCATTGTTTCTTTTTATATACAACTGCTAAGCACCAACTGTGTGCTAGTCACTCCACGAAGAACTGGGGAAAAGGAAAAAGCATGGTCTTTATCCCTGTGGTTTGGAGATGGGGAAGCCACAGATGGAAGGCAAATTCACCACTTCAGAGAAATCCACTGATATGTCAAAGCACACTGACAACTAACTCTAAATCTTCAGTTATCTTTATCTCATTGTTCATCATTCTAACACATTTTTAAGTTAACAAAGATGGTTTACTATCTTAAAAACCTAAGAACTTAGTGAAACATCTTAAGGAACTAAAAATTGAGTCACTCTATGGTCATTGTTATGCTTAAATTGTAGTACTTAAATTTGTTATAAGCTTGGAGAATTAAATTTGAAGTTCCTAACAGGTAATCTGAAGGATCCTTATATTGTATGGAGCTACATGGACAATTTTTATATAAACACTCCTTGACTTACATGGCAAGTGGAAAATGGTTTTGATGCACAGAACTTACTGATCCTGATAGCTCCAGAGCAGTACACTGCACAGTACTGCTGCTTAGTCTCAGGACTGCATGGCTGGCTGGGAGCTGTAGCTCTCTGCTGCTGCCCAGCTTGAGAGAGTGTCCTGCCACATCGCTAGCCCAAAAAAGGTCAAGTCAAAATATGAAGTGCAGTTCCTACCGACTATCACTTTTGCACCATCATAAAGCCGAAAGACAATCTGTAATTAGGATGTGCCCTTGATGTCAAATAATCTTAGAAAAGGCATGCCTTTCTTCTCTCCTCTCTACCAACCACTGTAACTTTTAACTTTTAGATTAGGATAAATATATTTATAAAACACCTCAGAGGGTGACAGAACTGAGAGACAAGTAGATATTGTGGCTGATTCCATCTTAGAGACTGTCTACGAAAGGGCCCAGATATCCTTAAACATGTCACATTAGACTTTCCCATCATCTACCAAGTGTGCACTAGTATTTGAACTATGTTGGCACTTGCAACAGGAAACTCAGCTCACCTCAGACCTAAATATCAATAGTATGATAGTGAGATTATTCTCTGACATGACCCATATGAACCAAATTTCTGAAAACTTGAAAGGGTTACCTGAAAATCTATCTGAAAAAATACCCTAGAAAGATAACCATTAAAATTTACTGTCATTCAATGTCGAATCTTGTATATTGCTTTCTTAGGAAACAATCAATTGAATTTCATTGAATGGGATAAGCAGAACAGGGATAAGCAGAACACAACTAGTCCATTTAGTGGGCAGAGTCCCCTCATACCCAGATTGGAATGTGCTCTATAAATCACCATCCTTCAAAGATAGTTATGTCAGCTTTTTATACAATAAGAGGTTACTGCAGGGATCCAGAATCATACAGAAATTATGCCAGTATGTTATGCACGGCTGTAATCCCAGCTACTCAGGGGACACAGGTGGGAGGATCACTACTTCAAAGCAACCTGTAAAGTTAGCAAGACCCTACTGTTTCAGCAAAACAAAACCAAAACAAAAGGGGATGGAGGTGGAACGTAAGTGGTAAAGCACTTACCTAGCAAACATGAGGCCCTGGGTTCAATCCCCAGTACTGAAAAAAAACCAAACCAAACCAAAAGCATGAATCATGATGCTTACAAATTCAGTTCTATCCGCCGGTCAGGACTGAGGTCAACTAAGTGAAAATTAACATTTTGAAGGAAAAACGAAGATTTACTGCACTTAGTCTGAATTTATTCCTTCCTAGTCAACGATACCAATAATCATAAAACATTTTAATTTTCCCAGGTTGGGGGAGTTGCTATCAAGGATGAGTTAAACAAGCTTATTGAGATTTGTGGCTCGCCCCTATTCTTTCACATGCTTTTACCCTTTATCCTTTCCTTCCCAAGAAACTTGCATTACCATTTTAAGATGAAGGAAGTTTTAATAACTTCCTCAATGGAAAACTCATTTATATACATTTTATACCCAATGTCTGGAAATAAACACAGATACCATATTTACTTAATTTTTTAATAAACCATAAAATTTAAATATCCAAATAAAAAGGAAAAAATAGATATTTAAGCCAGCACTTAATTTCTAGTTTTATTCTTCCCCTGGGGCACTGGGGGCTGGATTTACTAAGATTACAGAAGAATAATGTCTTGATGCTGGTACCATAATAAACAAGTAAGAATGGGTAATGGCTTAATAAAATTTACTTTCAAATCTGGAAGCAGTAATGGGCAATAAGAAAGAATAGAGGAGGTGAATTTGATCATGGTACATTATATGCATGTATGGAAATATTATAATGAAACCATTTTGTACAATTAACATATTCTAATAAAAAAGAAAAAATCAAAAGAACATTTCATGATGCATAGAAATTATATGATATTCAGATTTCAGTGTCTAAAAATAAGATCATATTGGAATACTCCCTACCCAATCCACTCCACACATACAAAAACGTCAGTAGTTCACAAGACCACTGCAAATACCTGCCACTGGCCACATCTGTGGAAATCTATCATGGTTTCCCATTCCTACTACACTTCATCACAGCTTGCACTCCTGGCATTCTGCTCCTTTTGCTCAGTCAGTGATGCTCACTTCAGTCTGTCAAAACACCAAGGGGGAAAATCCCCAAACTGAACAGACGAATAAACACTTTTAGTTGAACAATCATATTCAGATCAGGCTGTTTTGCAAAAATACAAGTCAGTGGATTTTTTCCTTACATAACTCAAACATTGCTATTTTTTCCTGCCTTTACTAAAATGGCACTTTTCATTTTATTTACATTAGGCAAAATTTTCTACTTGCTTCTACTTTTCCGTGACTGATGCCCTATGTTATTCTTTGTAATTACATTTTATAATTTCCATTCCAGAATATTTGGTCTTTGTCCAACTTTATGACATTCTGTGAATAAATTTGCTCTTAATCACTGAAAATCACAAGAGAAAAAAAGAAAAGCAATCAGCACTAGTAGGATCTCACTGGATTGTTCGTGTAATTTTTATAAGAAAACATTCATTTTTATGGAAGAATCTAAAACCACTTTTGTATGGCCTCTAAATCTTTGAGCACACTCAAATGGGTGGACATTCAATCTGGACAACAGGCTAGTTCACAAGAACAGAGCTGGAATGCACACACACAGTCAGCTGGAAGAATCCCAGCAACCTGCTACTAAAGTGCAGCAACTTTCCTTAGAGTATGAAGAACTCCAGTAACCTCTGGATATTTTTGGTTAAGTTAAGGGAAAGCTACTGCAGTCAGCAGATAGGTAATGTTTAGGCTTCAAAACTGGTTGCAGGGAACCACAGTGAACTATTAGTCTTAGAGCCAGTGAAAAGCACTGGCTTGGAAAGAAATGGGCTTTTCTATAACAAAAAAAAAGAAAAGCAAAATTATCTTATACATACTTAGCGTACTGTGGTTTGACAGGTTTACAGTGATAAACAAAACAGCAAAGACAGTTAACATTATTTATACCTTCAGTGTGTAGCAAGCACAGATTTAAAAATCGGCAGCAATAAATTATATGACAGCTCCTGAGACAAGTTATCCCATCCCCTAGATCATCCAATGTCAATGATAAATGGTATCAAGTAGAATAAAAAGTGATTTACTATATGGGATTCAGAAAGTACTTGAAAAGTGACAAAATTCTATGTTGTTATTAAATGACAAAACATATTTGGAGGCTTTATTTAAAAATCTCTCACTGTTCATTATCAAAGTTACAAGATTGTTTGCATACCAATAGACAGACTGTAAACATAGGAAATTTTCATTAAGGAAAGATGGTTTACTGTAATTTGATCTTTTACAAAAAATTACTGCAAGTTATTGATAACAGAATTTCTTTTTTACTTTCTTACATGTAATTTTCTTAAAAATTCAACCAACCTTTCCACTCTCTTGAGCTAAAGTTCAACCATGCTCACTTTAGGAAATACCCCTGTTTATTTGTTAATCAGAAATACAAACTGAGTGGCACATGTTTCCATTTTCATCTTAGGCCAAAGGTTTCAGCTTCATTCTATTCTACCAGAAGACAGAAGATTCGCAGTGGTCCCGTTAAGTCTTTCATATCGCAGCTGAGGTTTAATGCCGGTAGTGGAGGGAAGCAGTAGTGATGAATAAAGACCAGCCCAGGTGCCTTATCTCACAGGGAATCTTCTTCCTGCTTGGCTTGCAGCAGCAGAGCTTCTGGTCAGCTTGCCTCCACCAAACCTGATTGAAGCAAAGGGTGACATGCTCTGGGAAATCCTGTTTCAGGGTGATTCCATCCAGGCCAGGAGTTGCTCCTTCAATCAGTTGGTTGGGGGATGATACTAATATGAAGAAAATTATCTGGGTAGCTCAGATGTTCACTCAGCCACTGCAGAGGTGTTTCCAACATAGGCTCAATTCCATGAATCATCACTTGATTCTTTTTTTCCCCATCTATTCCAAGACAGAAAGTCAACAGTAATAGGAGTCAAAATGGCAAAGAAACAACATTTGCCCTTTCAGAATCCATAGTGAATTAAATGGATTTTAAGCCTGTTTTGTCCCCTGAACAGGAAATGCAGACATGGAGAAAGTTTAAATGTTGCAATATGTATCACCCAAAACAGAAACCTGAGGGTTACAATGAATTCTGAAAAAAATTCTGTTGCTTTATGTGAAAGTATTCGTTCTTTCTTAATTACTGTGCTTACCTAAGATTGACGTTAATGAAACTATAGTGGAGAAAACAGCCCAGTAAATCCACTGACCAAAATTCTTTTAGTTACACATTAAAAGCTGTACTATATATGGCTACTGAAAATGACAAGTACATGGAGTAGGTTCATACATAGTTTAAATATGTAAAACAGAAATGTGACTATAAGTCATCAAGAATCTGATTAGTATTTGAGAAAATGATTAATAAAATGTATGGGAGCTTTGGATGGTTTTCAGTAATGTGTCCAAGTATATCTCAAAAAGTGTTAGAGGTAGTATCTAACAGATAAAGTTTTAATCAGAACTAAGAGTTTGACTCTTGGATTTTTATCTTAGAGTCATGGAACCTGATTGATTTTTGCTGACACCCATTCACTATTAAAAGTTTGCTCCAATTCACACTTTTCTTCTAAACTCAAATTTTATTACAAATTAAACTTAAGCCTAATCTTGTGTTTTGCAAGATTTTGGCATAATCTACTGACACTCTTTAAAGTAAACAGAAACACTCTTGGTTATAATAGGAAAATAAAGAAAGCAAAAACAAATTCCTCTAAGAAAAAGGAAAAGAAAAATAGAACCATCAAGAACCTTTGTGTTAATCTCTTATCATAGTTCCCTATGGTCTCTTCAAAATACAATGTCAAAATTTCTGGCTTACTAGTGATAGACAATGAAACAGGGATCTGAGGGGAAAATACCCTACTTTTCCTCTTTCAAACCCCTAGTACTCTAATGTCTGGGCAAGTGGGCTGATGATGTACTGTGATAATGGCAGGTGGCATCTGGGATGAGATCCTTTTAAAGAAATTTAGACTTCTTATCAGTGTCAGCACAGTACTGGGAGGTGACAGTCAACAAAGGACATGAGAATAGTACAGAGATAGCCAAAAAGAATGCCAAATATAAAAACCCGAGAAACACACTACTAAAGACAACTGATCAAGCTCCCAAACCACAGTTTGGGAGTCACAATTTAACACAATTTTGGGGAAAAAAAGCCTTGTAATGCTACTAGCCAAAATGCTTTAATTGTTTTGATTTTCCTGCCTTTCTTTGTTGCATCAATATGTAATATGTTTTATACAGTTGTGATTACTGTATAAATTTAATGACTGGTTTTCTTAATGCTGGTATGAATCATCTATAAATAAAAGATTAAGCTATACACAGAATGTACAGCGTATGACTTTCAGAAGATTTTTTTAGTGTTGGTATTAAAATGGATAAACCCTTAGCTACTCTAGATTGCCAAGGTTTTATTGTATTAAAAATTTCTTAGAATATTAGAAAACATTTCTAGTATACTTCTTTTCATATTCTTATTATATATTTCTTTGAACTATTTTAATATTCTCAGAAACTTCCTCCTACTTAACACTGAGTCAAAAATGAAAGAGTAGTGGTATAAGAGTAAAAGTTCCTATGTGTAAAGTTTTTTCTTAGGCCAGAGTCACCTTTGGATCCTTGAAACAGGGGGGAAAAAAGTCACAACTAATTAATTACCCACAATACTGTTCCTAACGCAACAGTTAAGTATGGGAGCAAAGACAATGTCACACCATTTGGGCACAGTATATTGGAAAGGCAAAAGACCACTCCTATTATCTCAGGACAGTTGGAGTTGAGCTGCACAACAGCAATTGGGGAGCATAAGCACTAAGCAAACATTGATGCTGTAGAGCCTTAAACAGGCAGTGATGATTCCCCAGTCTGGTAGTTGAGGTCACTGCTGAGTAACAGTTTCTGATGCTTACTTCTACTTTGTAGAAGAGCCCAATCTATAAAACCTGCTTTAGTTACTGAAACAACAAAAAGTCAAAAATATTTGAAGATAAACCATGAAATATATATGCTTTGACCTTAATTCATGCTTGCATAAATAACAATAAAGCAAAACTGGACAAATTGACAATATCTTGATTAACAAAAGGGAACAGTGGAAATTGTTATTTCTCTAACACTCGATGATATTGCTAAAGAAAAACCATGTTTTTGGTACAAATGTCTGTTTCAAGATGGAAACCTAGAGTTTAATACTTGAGATGAGAAGTATGTTACTACACATCAAGTGCCTCAAGAGAAAAATGAAGAATGTCACTGTGCACCTCTCCCATTTTTTTTCAGCATACAAGGAGCTAATCTAGGGCACCAAGCTATATACACATACCCACATCTCTTACTTGGTCTTTTAAAAAGTTAATGCCTGTGAAGCTTTAAATTAGGCAAACATTTAAGAGGTAATCAAGTTAAATAGTTTTATGTGATCTTTCATACATGTCACTTGGGTGGGGGGGAATTTTGACTTCAACATAACTTTACAGTGTGTATTTCTTATAGATATTATTTTACATAACTAAAGTATAGGTTTTAGCCTTTTTTTGTATTTCCAGACAATTTTGAAGAGTACACATCATCGTTGTGTAGAATGTACTTTAAAAAGCCAGCATCTACTTTAAAGTGAACATTTTTAGAACTGTTACATTTAAAGAAAAAATGTATTCAGGTTTCTTTTGGTTATGAGTGGAACTGTAGAAATACATATGGAAACAAAAAATATTAAATCAGGAAAAGGAAAATCTCAGTAGCTATGTAACTGCACTTAAAACAATGCTTACATTTTATGCATAAACAAAGATGTTGCTTATATAAGTACATATACAATTAATGTGATGATATACAATATAAATGAGACATAAAGGAGAGAAGGCCAAACTGCACCCATAGTTAATGACAGACAGATAACCTGAATTACAATTCTGGTAATGAATGACTGTGCAGATATCATGTATGAGGCTGTTTCTCATACATGAAGCGAATGTGACTGTATAGAGTAATAGTTTATAAACCTGATTGACCATGAGAACCATGTGGGAGACCTAGCTGGGCCCCTCTCCATACCTTCTGAATCTTCTGATCATCCTGGCATAGAATTTTTCATCAAAATTTTATACAATAACCCCGTATGCACCATATAGGTAAAGGGGAGTTTGGATGATGGAAGATGGAGACTGTCCCCCAAGTCCTTCTTGCTGCTTTAGAACTCATGTGCACTTGTGATTGTAAACTCTGGCCCAGAGAATCACTCACAGTCCTCCCACTCTACCATCTGGTCTTTCATGCCTAACAGCAAAATGTTCTTTCAGAGTTCAACTGTCATCATTTAATAGCTTTGAATTCTTAGGCAACTAACTTAGTTAACTTGTAAATCTCTAACTCTTCATCTTACAGTATGGATAAAGAATTCTAATCTCCAGGGTTGCAAGGAGGATTAAACGGAGTATCCCCTGGCATAGGCCTTGGACCTTGTATGTATTCCATGACATGACTGTCTTCTCCATCCCTCCCAGGGTGGCAAAAATATTACTTATAGGGCCTAGAGGCATGGCTCGAGCAGAATACCTGTCTAACAAGCAAGCCAGAGTTCAACTCTTAGTACTATCAAAAAAAAAAAAAAAGTTACTTAAGAAAATGAGAAAGGAAGACAATTTTTAAAAAGGTCATGGTTTAGTAACAAAAAGCAACAAGCCACTATAATTCTCTCCCTAGACTCAAAGGTAAATTCTTTCAGTACTAGATATAGCAAAAGATGCATGCAAACCATGTAACTGGCATGCAAAGGGTTGTAAGAGTTTGACCTTATGTTAATATGTACTGAGTCAGTCAGTCCCACTGTCCAAGAAAGAACAAAAACTCAGACTTAATAACCATATAAAGTAGCTGAGTACAGTGGAGGCCAGCTTGGACAAAAAGTTCATGAGACCTCATCTCAACTGATAAACCTGGGTGTGGTGGTACATACTCGCCCACCAGATACATGAGAAAATTAAAAAAGAAGGATCACAGTCCAGGCTGGCCCAAGCATAAAAATCAAGACCCAACCTTGAAAATAACCAAAAGCAAAAAGTATGGGGGTGTGGCTCAAGTTGTAGACTGTTTGTCTCATGAGCCCAAAGACCTCAGTTCAAACTCCAGGACCACACAAACAAAAAAAATTATATGAATTAAATAACATTTGAAAACATTTCAAAAGCAATGTAAAGTGTCTGGATTAATTTAATGGTGCTTTCAACATAAAAATTCACATCACCTTCAAGACTAATAAGCACTAATATATTATAATTATACTGCTTAAAAGACTTGGTCAAGTAATGCCAGGTACTAGTGGCTCATCCCTGAAATTCTAGGTACTTCGGAGGCTGAGATTGGGAGGATCTCAGTTCAAGGCTGGCATGGGCAAACAGTTTGCAAGAACTCATCATCAAAATAACCAGGGCAAAACAGACTGGAGGTGTGGTCAAGCTATAGAGTTCCTGCTTTGCAAGGGTGAAGCCCTGAGTTGAAACCCCAGTCCTACCAAAAAAAAAAAAAAAAAACTTCAAGTAAGAATCATTTTAAAAAGGTGAAAGCACTGCACAGATCTTGTGACTCCTTAGAAAGCTTTTTATAATCACTCACCTTCAGTAACTAGAATCTGTAGGAATGAACTCTGTGTGCCAAAAATGTGACACATATATGGAAACAATTCTTAACCTGATTAACTAGCTGTAATACAGTTCTGTGAATTTATTGCAATGATGTTGTAATACCTGTACGTTGAAGTATACAGATGTCTTCTCCTCTTCAATACTGCTAACAGTGGTACCCATAACTACATTAAATTCACATACTATAAACAAACCCACCTTCCTATTTATATCCATGTTCTATCAATTAACTATTGTTGCAGTTTTAAT